GAGCACGGTGCTTATATACTTACACAGACCTTTCCCCACCATCAGCACTTTCTGAAGCATTAAGTCATTAGAGAGAGAACATTTCCAATTAAGATTCCAGTGTTAGACCTGAGGGGACAGAACCAGGAGTGTAGGATCAAGGCTACTCCACAGAATCTGCTCTTGGGATTATTTCCCTTCCCCCATTTGTAAATAGAGACTGTGTCTGTGACCTGGCTCCTCCTATGGGGATTGCGCTTCACGCTGGCAAGGCTGAGTCCTGTCGATTTCTTTCCAACTCTTCAGTAGCAGTTTTGAGTGGATCATGGAAGGGGCATTCACAACACGGAAATTGGCAAATATTACAAATCACACTCCTTGCTTCTCCCCCAAGGCAACTGCCAGCACACCAACCTACGGCCACCGTTTATTTATGGGGTGCTGTCTAACCTATTTAATTAATCCCCTCAACAAGCAATTCAGCACCCTCTTTGCCCAAGCTGCTAAGGCTGATTTGTGTAAAGTGCAGGCGACACTCACTGAGCAAGACAGACAGGAACCCAACCCTGTCCTCATGGAGTTAACAGTCTAGTGAGTGGAGGGCACAGAAATGTTGATCCAGATGTTAATCCACTTAATTGTCTGAATAATGGCACAAAGGAATACAGGGTAGAGGAGTCACCCTCTTCATCCGATCCTGCAGCTGACCTCAGTGCTTTTTAGTGGGGAAGCAAAACACAACTGCGTTACTATTTTCTTGCTATTCAGGCCTCCAGCCCACATTTATTTAACACAGGTAACTTCAGTACTGCCAATGGGTCACAGCTCTCAAAGAGGTTCTTGCAGCCCTAGGAGGGACGGCCAAAACCTTAGCAGAGCACGCTCTGCAGTCACCGTCCTCCCCCACTTGCACCTGGCCAGCCTAGCTCCCTGCCACTCTTCTGCTCCCCAGGACATCGCGGTTTCCATGGGAACCCACACACTTCAAAGGGGAACGAAGGAGACGGGAGGGGAGGAGGGGGAGGAGTGCTGGATTAACCTCACCCTCTTGGCCCCATCTCTGCTCTGCATCCTAATCCCTCCGTCTCAAACTGCACCTGACACCTGACCACCCTGCAGCATGGCAGGTGGGTGCTGCAGTCCAAGTTAAATTTGAACTTCTCTGGGAGGAAGCATTGGAGTTGAGGTGTGGGTGCGGGGCTGAGAAAACTGAGGACCATCCAAACCTAAACCTCCTACTCCATGGGCCTCCCCTCCTCCGGTTCCCTCTCATCATTGCTCCTGGGCCACAAACACAATTACCCAGGATGTGCATCCAATCATGGGATCTGCTTGGATTAGACTGAAATCATTAATCTGAGCCCGGGCTCCTGGTTGCCTTGCTGATTAGCCCAGATGATGCTCCGGTATGATCCAATTAAAGACAGGCTCTGCTCGGCCCCTCCCCCAGCTTCCAGATCAGAAGGGAACCAATATATTTCATTAACACTTCCTTATACACAAATAAAACCTTGGGGGCACTGGCAGGCTCTCTCCCCTTTGTCACACTGCCCCTCTGCCTGTCAGCAGAAGTCAGGGGAGGGGGCTTCCCCCATCTTTCTCCATCTATAGTCCTGGAAGGGGCCATAGGGAAGACTTCCAAAAAAGTAGTGCTGGGCACTAATCTGAATGGAAAGGGTCTTGTTACACTTATTGACATAAAATATGGACTCCCTGACGTGCTTTGGAACAACCAAAGTGCCCCTGGGCAGGCAAATCTAATTAAAATTACTGACCCTACAGGAGGCTGGGCATCTAAGCAATGGCTGCAGAGAGGGCTGATGGTACTAACAGGAGAGGTGTGAATACAGGAGACAAGTCGGGGGCTCTGGGACTAGAACTAGAGAGCTGGGGAGTTGGGCAGTGGCATGGTGTTAGCTCCAAGCTAGCTGTGAGGAGCCGGACAGCCATGTTTGCCCAGAAGTCCCTTTACTGGATCAGATGGTTTCAAGTCCACCTTGGGCAAATGCTAAGGGTTTTGGTTGGCTAGCCCCGGGAAAGAAAAGGGGTAAGCAGGAAGTAGTGTTACCTGAGGAAAGGTTTGAGTCGTACTTCAAGTGGCATGGTGGACAGGTCTCAAGGAGCAGTGTGCCACTTCTTCTGAAATTTGGCATGGGTGCAGCATGAGCCTGGTATCTTGAGAAAGACTTTGGAGTGTTGTATTTACTATTGATATATCTTTTAGTAACTGCTGCTGATAATCCTAAACAGCTGTATAACCCAATCACCACACAGAGACTATGATTTATTTAGTTAACCTAGAACACAATGCTGGGCAATTGTTACTCCATCCTAAACCTCCAAGCCCTCATAGTTTCCTAACATTTAGATTCACCCATTATACTTGCTTTTTTGTTGGGTTCATTCTCCGCTGTTCTAAGACCTCTCTCTCCTCCAACTCTTTTTCTCCCAGTCTCTCTCTCCTCTGCCTCCCACTGTCTGCCTTTCTCCTGTCCTCTGGCTCCTCCCCTTCTCTCCTACTCCTTCCTGTCCATTGCTCAACATTGTGGCTGGTTGTTTCATTTTGGCACGTTTACACAAAGTTGAGACAGGTGATGCTTAGAACAAGTATCACAATGCAATGTCCGGATTGAAACCAGAGAGTGGGGGAGAGAAGTCAGCATTTGAATGAGCAAGGGTAAGGTGTATCCATTCCAAAAGAACATTATACCAACACTGGAGTCCATGGATCTTGCTGTGATGGCCTTGACAAGTGCAGCACTGCTTTGCGCCAGCCATGGTGCCAGGTGCTTCCATGGGCTCCCTCGTTAACTCTTATTAAATATGCTGCTCGAGTCTATCATGAACCTTTAGGCTCAGTGAGAGGTAGCACCAACCCTGGGTTTCCAGAAACTTTATTCCTAGCAGATATCATGATTGGATGCACAGAGGTAATTATGTTTGTGGCCAAGGGGCAGTAATGAGAGAGGATCAGAAGAAGGAAGGCCGGTGGGTTGAGGGTGGAGGCTTTGTTTGAACCATGCTTGGTCTTCTTGGGGGGCACCTTAAGCACCCTGATGTTTTCTCCCAAAGAGCACCTATTTGTTTTACTTCATTATTTTGTGTGTATGAGTGTTCTGTCTGCATGTAGGCCTGTGTACCACAAAGCCAGAAGAGGGCATTGGATCCCCTGCAACTGGAGTTACAGACTGTTGTCGGTGCTGAGAATCAAACCCGAATCCTCTGGAAGAGCAGCCAGTGCTTTTCACCACTGAGCCATCTCTCCAGCCCCCAAAGATCCTCTCAATCAGAGGTATTCTCTGTGATCTATACTCACCACACACCCCTTCCCCATGAATCTGAAATGATGCCTACGATCAGCCTCTAAGGTGCAAATGAATCCCCCCAAACCATGTGACTTTCACATGTTGAATCCTGAGGACTGGGTCAGCCCCAAGATGTTGTTTTTCCAATCAGCTTCCATACGATGCCCCATGGACTACAGTTGGAATAGTCGTGGTCTAAACTGAGCACTAAGAGGAAAGCCTGAGCCATCAGGCCACCAGGGGAGCTTGCAGAGGTCGCTTTATTTCCTCTCCCTTCTCAGGCACACACCTACATGAGTTACCCAGGCTCATTTATGGGCAGCTGTGTAATCACTCTTTTCACTCCCAGGCTGCTCTGGCCACTGGCTCATCCCGATCCTATAACACAGCGAATTCTGTTTTTCCCGAAAAGGCTAGCCTACATGTTTTCCACCTGGCAGAGTCTCTTGCTCAGCCAGCAAGCCAGCCACAAACACTGCCTCACAAAGGAAGTCTGTCCAACTGCTCTGAGTACACAATGGGGCCTTCTTATTTGCATGTCTGTTGGTTCCTGGGGTGACAAGTACTGATGTTTACCTTCCTAGGTCACTCACGTTCCCAGGAGTCTATAACAGCGCCTGCAATATTAATAGTAATTATTCAATAAGAGAGTGTGAGGGAGGGAGGGAGGGACACTGAGGGAGGCAGGTTTGTCCTCCCTGGGAGTGACTGTGAACAGATAGATCCCAAAATTCTTTGGGTAGAGCCCTGCACCCACAGGCAGCTGGACCTGGCTTATTTTTTGCTCAAGTCAGGGACCAGGTACTGTTTTATTTTAATTTTTTGCAGGACCTAGGTGTTGGCATTAGAGGCAATCAGCTTATCTGAGTAACTAAAAATAATGCTGATGATAATGATAATAACATCACTAATTGCCACCATTACCATGAAGGCATTGTCTTTGGGGTGTGGGGGAAGGAATCAATCTCCTTATTCGTTTGTCTTCCTGTTTGCCTGTCTTGGGTGCATTATTCCTGGTGTAATTCTGCGTTACTGGCATTAGCCATGACGTATGCCTTGCCGGTGTATGTTGCGCTTGCTGCTGCATGGGAACATGTGAATTCGCACGAGTGAATCTGAGCCAGAGTCAACACCATCTTTTCTTTGTACTGTGGGAGTCTTGCGAACAAACAACAATAAAAATCTCATTCAGACCTGTTTTTAGATAACTACACTCTCGTCCCCAACCACTCACACAAGAACTAGAGTTGGTTAAGGCACCATGGGTATTTCCCTGATCTCCACTCACCTTCTCATTCAGGACAATGACCTGGGCACCAGGGCCCACACAGTCACACACCACACTTCTTGCTAAGACAGCTTGAAACAGAGTGTGACCCGAGTTTACCTGGAATGCTGACAAAGACAATTCACATTGAGAATTGTCTTTGAAGAGAGTTTGGTTGGCTGAACTGAGGGTTTCTGATGTTCATTAGGGCCCCATCTTCCTGGTTGAGAGGGGAAGGGAATCTTCATGGCTGATACTGCCCATACCTTCATGTCTATCACAGATACTTCCAGCAAGTAGAAGCAAACCCACAGTGGCCAGTGGGGGTGAGTGGATTCTGAGTTGAGGGAGGAAGCTCAGACAAGCTGCTGCTGGCCATCATCATGATGAGCCTACCTGCCAGCCTGCATTCTCCTATCTCAGCTAAGGCTTGCAGGAGAGTCCCCTACCTGTACACAGCCCGCTTGTCGGCCTCCAGCTGGGCCTGGGGGTCAATGGGGGCACTGGGCACAGGTGTGCTGGCGGTAGCTGAAGGTGCTGAGATGTGGACAGCCTGGGCCTTGGAAGGTGGCTGGGTAGTTGCTGTCATCTGCAGAGAGAAGAAACAGGGAAGGTAGATTAGGTGGACTGAGGGGTCTTCCTTGGCCTCTCCTGGGCCAGGGAGGGAGAATGTGTGCAAGAGAGCTGCACATGGTAAATTGTATCCATTTATTCATTTGCTACTGTGGACAGTAAAGCAGTCTTTTCATTTTTTTTTCCAAATGAGTATGTTCTAAAAAACAAACAAACAAACAAACAAACAAGCCAACAACTCAGTAACCAGAGAATGGGTTCCCAACACTCTTAGAAAACACAGAATTTTATTTTCTTTTACTGAGACAGGGTCTCTTGTAGCCCAGGCTGGCTTAAAACTTGATATGTTGCCCAGGCTTACCCTGAATGCATGATCTTCGTGTTTCCACTTCCCAAATACTGGGATCACGGGCAAAGCTACTATGCCTTGGCCTGAGAGATTGTTCTTAAAGCAAATGTTGTGATCTTTGCCCAGGAGTAGAAAGATAAAAATAACCCCCACCCCAGAAAATACCCACAATATAATAAACTACTTCAATTAGGTTAATGAGTCTTGTATGCATAAGTGTTTTGACTGCATATATGAATGTGCACCACACGCATGTCTGGTTCTCTCCAAGTTCAGAAGATGGCAGTGTGCCTCCCGAAGATGGTTGTGAGCAGCTATGTGGGCGCTAGGGCTGAACTCAGGTCCTCTGCAAGAGCATCAAGAGCAACTCACCACTGAGCCATCTCTCCAGCCCCTGTTTATGAGTCTTTTTGACAATAATGAGTTTGATTATATAACTTTAAAAAGCAGGAAAAAAAAGAGGCTGAATGTTTTTCACTTGGACAGTTTTATTTGTTCCTTTCAGTTCAAGTCAAGAGGTAACTAACTCTCCTAGTAGTTTTGATGGCTCTGCAAGTTTGGCTTATGATCACTTGAAGATGAAGGTGTTTTTCCTTGTTTATTTTTGGTTTTGTTTTTGAGACAGGGTTTCTCTGTGTAGCCTTGGCTGTCCTGGACTCGCTTTGTAGACCAGGCTGGCCTCGATCTCACAACAATCCTCCTGCCTCTGCCTCCCTGAGTACTAGGATTAAAGGCATTCACCACTGACTGAAGATGAAGTTTTTGATGGACAGTGAACAGATAGATGCATGCTCTTGATCGTAGCAAAAACTTTCAAAAAATGGTTTTCATAGCATGTTATAGGGGTTTGAAGGTATCCCAAAGCCTACAATTTTATGCCAACCATACCAATTTCTTTCAATATAATACATTGAGTTTTCTGTCTAATGTTTCATTTAAAGAAATAGTCCAGTATCTTCAAAATTCTTGAAAACAATTATTACAGAACTTAATTCTTTTATTTTATATTTCTTTTAGTTAAATAGACTCCTAGAATAACATCAATACATCTGTATTATTCTCCTCTGTCTACCTATTCCTGATACCATGATAGCCCTTATCTCACTGGTCTTAGCCAGAATGTACATTTGTCGCTGGCTCCAAGGCCTTATTCACCAGCCCCTGACACTCAACTGATCATGCTTAAATAAAAATGACAGAGTTTGACAAAAACATTTGACAAGAAGAAGAATAAATGAATAAATGAATAAATGAATGAATATGCTTGGAAGGAATCAGGTATTTCACAGCTTGTGAGTTCATAATAGGATCTATGTCAGTGCTTTACAGAATAAAAAGTATTTTGTGAATAAAGCACATTATTGCTGTGTGTGTATATCCCCAGGACATCAGCAGAGATCTTGCTTTTTCCAGTCATATCTCTGCTCAGGTGCCACTCTTTTTTAAAAAAAAAAAAACCCAGCCACCCCTCACCCCACCTGCCCCTTGCTTTGTTTTTCTGTGTTCATCAACATGAACATAAACTATATGTATATTTAATTATTTTCTCTCTGCTCCTCTTTAAAACTCCACAAGGGCTCATAACAATTGCATTCTGTCACTAGAAGGTATTAAATATTTGTTGAATCAATGAATTAATGAATAGCAGAGGAAAAATAAAACACCATAAAGGAAACACCTGTGTTTTACTATACTGTGTCATTTTGTCAAAAAGAAACATCCCTGTCACTCTATGGGCTACATGTGTGAACTCAGTGCACAGGAGGCTTGGTGCCTGGGAGCCAGCAGACAAATGCTTGTCCCTTTATTAGCCTCTGACCTCAGACAAATCTCTTAACTTGCCTGAGTTCGTGTTTTCTCATCAGTATGCATTTAGGATTGGTGGTCTTTAAAGAGATGCTACATGAAGGAAGAGCGAGGCAAGTACTGTACTAGACTTCACAATGGAGAAAGAGGGCACACTCAGTTAAAACGGTGGTCACAGTTTCACTGATCTGTAACCACTGCGGGCCAGATTCTCTCATCCCTCACCCACTAACAAAATTGAGTTTATTTGTAGGCGTTTCCAGAGTCTCTGTCACAGTAAGCACTGCTCTAGGCTCTCGGCTTACAAGAGCAGTGCCTGAAAAACATGGAGAAATTGGCAAGTTCATTAAACTGGCTTTATAGGAAAATACAGCATAATTAACTTCGGCAAGGCATCTCCCACTGTATGTAGCCTGGTGGACAATTGCATGGATTGTGAATTACACCTCACAGAAGACAACTAAAGGACAGATGTCAGCATGGGGAAGTTTCTCGGCAAAGGCCACACGCTTCCTTCTTTGGGTAATTTTTTTTTTCAACATTTTTCTTGGTGATTTAAAGGCTATCTGAGGAAATGCTCAACAAATTTATGGATGATGAGAAACTTGGACCCAAAAGATCTTTGCAGATTTGGACAATAGGGCATACCTAATAAGATTATTTTTCATCTAATAAGTTAAAATTGAACACTTCTAAAAATAAAGCACAATCAATAATGTAAGTGCAGAACAGGGGATGCAGGGGTTAGTATCAGTGCGTTAGCTGATGGCTTTGCTCGATATAGCCAAGGTGTAATGTGTTCATGAACAACAGAAACAAGCAAATCCCAACATAAACTAATGCTGTCTGAGCATGCATTAATGAAAGCCTAGAGCACAGAGTGATGAGGTTAGGATCCCGTTTTCCCTCGGATTACAGAAGTACATGAAGGTACATTCTGAGGACAGCTGACCTGTGTAGGGAAGGGATTCTGTAGTTTGTTACCTCACGACTACTTGAAGGCACCTAGAATGCGTAAGCAGGATTTGGTAACCAGGGGAAATGGGAAGACATAAGAGCCTCCTTTAACTATCTGAATGAGGTGATTATAATTAAACATGAGAGTTGTAGAATGTACTCTAGTCGTAAAGCAGGCACAACTACATCAACACAGCTCATCCGAGGGTAAAATGTCAGTGCACTGGTACACTTAGCCCACTAGGTAAATTGTCTGGTGTCCTTGAAGGAATCCACAGAGGCCTTTACTAAGATGAGCGTCTAGAGAAGGGTGAAGGAGGTTCTCTTCTGTCTGGCTGGGGAAAGGCAGTGGAAGGCCTGATGGGATAAAGATGAATGCTCAGAATAAAAATTAAATCAAAATCGGTCATTTGCAGATCTCCCAAGGGGCCCTGAAAGGCTCTCAGAGGGTGAGAGACCAGAGCTGGTTTGAAAGGGAGGATGACTCAAATTTATGTGGCTCATGGGGGGTTTATCTAGCCAATTCTGCATTTCTTCAGGTTTGAAGGATGAATGTTTATTTCCAAACAGGTTTCTTTCACTAGCCATTTCCAAAGACCTGGAATTGAAATAGGATCGGTCACCGTTCACAAGGTCAGAGACCCTACAGGGGAATGGGGGTGATTTGAAATCAGTTTTAGGAGGAGCAAAGTCTAAAGAGGGGGAGCAGGGGGAGAAGCTGGGTGAACGAGGGCAGGGCATGGCTGTTAAATGGCCTCGCGGAAGTGCCTGCGAAACGGATGATTGAAGTTTTCGGGAATTCTTCGAGCTGGTTCATGTCTGGGTGTCTTGAAATTGGCCACGGTGGGAGTACTTACAGCAAGGAAACTGGTGAATGGTGCAAATCAGGGCAGAACCCTCCTCTCAAACCCATGCCCCAAGAGCCAGTTGCTAGTTACTAACCAACACGCTACTAATTCCGGGGGACTCCCCGAGTGACTTCCTTCCATTCTCCCTGGTCTGACAAGGGAAGAAACTAGCCTTACAAATCCACAAGGCCATTCAGTACATTTACAGCTGGTCTCAAACAGGCCGCTCTAGACCAGGGTACTTCTTTAAGGAAGGTCTACCTGTGTGGCTCACTGTGGACAAGGTTGGCGATGGCACTAAGGCAGACAGACAGGCAGCCCTGTCCCTTTCCAAGCAGAGGAAGCTAAGGCACAGAGAAAGAGGCAGGCAGAGTTAAGCAATGCCCTGAGGGCAGACTAGGGAATCAGAGAAGCCTCAGCAAATGAAGGCTGATGAACCTCCCTTGGGTTTTAGGGACATGTTTTGGGACAAGGCTTAATCAAGAGAACAAGATTGCGTCTAGTGGACAGGGCAAGATAGTGTTGGCTTTGGGGAGGCCTATCTATGTGATCCTTGACTCTTCTCTTAGCTGTGGTTCCTTCTTGGAATGAAAGGGCCAATACCCGCCTGCTTCCCTTTCTTGGATGTGATAATCACCAAGCTTCTCTATGTCTCCAAGATGGAACCAGCCCTGCCCAAATCTCAAAGCTCAGTGACTTCTGCCCCAATTCTTTCTTCTTCTCCTCCTTTTCCTTCTCCTGCTCCTCCTCTTCTTATTTTTATGTGTTTGGATGTTTTGTATACATGTATGTTTGTGTACCACATGCAGGCCTGGTGTCTGCGGAGGACAGAACAGGGTGTCAGATGTCCTGGAACTGCAGTTATAGACAGCTGTAAGCTGCTATGTGGGTGCTCTGAAAGAGCAACAAGTGCTCTTAGCCTCTGAGCCATCCCTTTATCTCCCTGGTCCCAATTTTAAGTGTCGTTCCCTGCCTGCCATCCAATTAATGGGAAGAGTCGAGGCTAACGAAATGCATGAACGGTTATACAATATCTAGGGAATCTAGGAGATCCAA